CGCCGACGCCCTCCTCCTCCTCCTCCTGCCCTGCTTCCCACCGCTCCCTCTGTTCGGGGCAGCGTCTGCCGGCTCCTGACCCCGGCGGCCGCACAGCACCCTTTATTTCAGCCGATCTCCTCCAGCACTCTTAGTTGCCGAAAATACCTGTTGATCACGTGCAGGATTAGGCTGCTTGCCACCCTCTTCCTATACGTGTGTGTGTACATATATATATATAGCAAATACCTGCCCACAGTGACCCCAGGGCCGGGGCTCGGGTACCGCCCGGCCGTACGTGAGCGAGAGGTCAGTACGGCGCACCGCGGTGCCGCGGCACCCACACGTCAGGCAGCCCGAGCTGCTGGGATGTGCCCCTGTTCTGGCTTGCTCAGGGGGGCAGCAACACCGATGAGACCCCGCCTGGCTCACGGAGCTGAGATGGGTCCATGGCAGGACGAGTGGGTGCCTGCGGCTACCAGCCTTGGGCATCCTGCCTGGGTGAGGTTCCCCCAGGCTTTGACCCTGCCCTGGGAGCTTCAGGCAGTGTGAGCCCACCGGCACAGCCTGCCCCGGGATGGGTCACCTGTGCCGTGGGACCCCAGACCCCTCAGTTCCCTCAGGAGGGTCATCGGCCCCCGAGCTCGTCCAGCAGCACCCGTCCTGCACACCCCGGCCAAATCCCTTGACCTGGATCGGAGCCTGTAGCTTCGGTCTGCCTCGGGCTTCATGTGTGAGCAAACCAAGTCAATAAATCCAGAGAGAACCACAAACTGAGCAAATGACTTTGCTAAGCACAGGCAGAAATAGCGGGAATTGTTCCCGGAGCCATCCATCCATCCATCCCTGCTCAGCCCAATATTCAAGCAATTTGCAGTGAAGCCAGGTCATTTTTGATTATTGTTAGAGAGGTGCTGGCTTTCCCTGCTAATTATAGGCTTGCCTCCAGCTAATAGGATTTATAGAAACAAAAGCATTACCAGCACAAACATTGCACAGGGCGGAACCGGCGCAGGCTGGGAATTTTCCATCCTGAAATGCCGAGGGCTGGGTGCTTGAAACGCCTGTTTTATCCAGTCTGAGGTGAGATGGGGTGTCATGATTTATTTTCAATGAATTGCTGGTTTGGCAGTGGATACGTATCAGGTCCATCAGGGAGAGAGATTTTCTTTGACGGGGCAATTATTTAGCATCCCAATGCCGGTTCTAGTCACCAAGGGCTCACTGAAATGGTGCTGGGAGCGGGTGGTTCATGCTCCTGGGAACAATGTATGAGGGAAGTGGCCGAGCTGGAGGGGAGAGCAGGGGTAGTGAGAGAGAGAGAGAGCTGGTAGTGTCTGTAGAGCTTATTATCAAATCTTCTGGAACTCCTCATCCTGCTAATTGGATTAGGAGCTCATCCACCTGGATAAATCCCGGAGCAGGCAAGAGGGTAGGCTCTGGGCACCTAGAAAATGCAACGGTGGTTTGATCCTGGGTGGTGCTGAGTGCCTGGGGCAGGTTCTGGGGACGCTGCTGGATCCGGCCCAGGGGCGGCTCTTGCGGGGATGCCAGGGCAGAGCGGCCAACTGCGTACAGCCTGGGGCAGGGCTGGCGTTTCAGCTGCCGACGAGCTGGGATATGGCAATTATTAATGCCAGAATTCCCAAATTCCACGAATTACGGAGCTCACCGGTAGCTGCTGTTAGCCAGATCACTGTCCAAGAGCAAGGCTTTATCCCAGGTCGTACAAAGGCTGCGAAGAACCGAATACTGGAAAGTCTCTACAGGGACATCCACAGATGTTGGAGGGGAGGGAGACAAGGCTGCGAGTGGCTGTTCAGTTCCCGCTAGGGATGACTGGGAAAGGGGAATCAAATCCCTCCAGCTGTTTTTAGAAATTTCTTGAGACCCTAACCACCAACAGCCCAGAGCAGACGTCGGTGATGGGGAAAGGCTGCTCCTTAGCTTGTTTTCCTTGTACTTTTTCCCCTCCGGCACTTTATTCCTGGCAACCCAGGTTATACAGCTGGAGGGCTGATATATTTGTGTTTATTTTCTGGAAATGAACTTTTTGCTTTGCTTCTCAGCTCCCTGCAGATGCAAATGCCTTCTGCGGGGGAGATGATACATACAGCCTGCAGAGCGCAGAGGGACCAGCCGCCCGTCCCAGCCCGAGCCCGGAGCAGACCCTGGGCCCGGCATGGCCGTGGGGGTGCCAGCACTGCAGTTACACCCGGGAAGCATCCGACCTGCGGAGGTGAAGGAAACTCTCCCCAGGTCACACAGTAAGTGAGAACCAGAGCGAAAATCCTCTCTCCCTGGCTCAAGACATCTCCCTTCCGTGCTCCAGCACAGCCTCCTGTATATTGTTCAAGTCACTTATACCCTGGGCTAAATGTTGTGCTGTAGCTCCTTACCAGACCTGCCTGAGATGAGCCTGATACATTTGTGTGTACGTAGCAATGTACCAAAAGTTCCTTCTGTAATTTTTTCCCCCACTTGTGTTTGTGCACTGGCGATCAAAGCATCCGCATGGTCCGTAGGGATGCTCACATGTAAAATAAACAGGCAAGTCCGCAGTACCCCCCTAACAACGTCTTTTTATTACGTTATGAATGTCTGCCTGGATTTGGAGCTTGAATTTTTAAATGAGTTAGTAGGAAGGAGTTATTCACCCCATTTTGAAGCCAAACATTCTTCGCAAAGGAGCTCAAGTTCTTTCCATAGCCTGAACACAGAGGGTTTCAATGAGAAGAGTCCCTACTACACCCAGGTTTTGACAGCGTGTGCTGGAAGCGCAGGGGTGGGACAGGGGCTGTGATGAGAGTCACGCTCTTACCCCCACCAAAGTCAGTTTTCAGGCAAGTTAAGCTCCAGGCACCAACCTCCCTCCCCTCTGGAGCAATTCCCCATGTCCTGGGATACAAGTCACAGTGGCCTCAGGACCACTGGCTGTCCCCGAGGCTGTCGGTACCGCCGGGATGGCACAGAAAGGTGGGTGCTTACCGGACGGGGACCCCGCGCCGCTCCTCTGCCCGGCTGGCTCCGGCGGTGCTGCCTCGTGGCTGGCAGGAGAGGAGGACCCGGGGCTTTGCCTCCCCTCCTCTTTGTCTGCCGCACCCTCCGCAGCCCTTGCTTATATATTTGTTATTTATGGAGCACGTGATGACATCCTAAGGAGTTTATAACCCCGATGAAAGACAGGAAGAGGTGAGAGGCTTTAAGGCGACAGGCCAGCAAAAGGATCCCATCAGGCTTTTTTTTTTTTCCTTCCCCCGTGGCGTGACTGCTTGCAGAGGGATAAAGCATTTAGCTGATTGCCCTGTGCTGAGCACCCGCTGCGGACCGGGAAAGGCGAGCAGAGGACTTAGCTAGGAAAGGAAAGCAACGTACTGGGCCTGATCCAGACCTCTCTGACGGCGCTGGGAGCCCGTAGGAAGCTGAAGGCAGCCCCGCTGAGCGTGGATGAGCTTTCTTTGTGCCAAGGATGGGGAGGCTGCTGGCCACGCCAGGCGTGGTCATCCCTTGGGCCTGAGCGCTGGGGAGTTTCTCAGGGGAACCGGCTGGCTTCTTGTAGGTTGGGGGGCCAGACCTAAGGAGCCCTTTCTGCCCCAAGGAGCTTACTCCAAAGACCAAACATCTCTCCCCCATGCAGCCCACGGTCCCTGGAAGCTATTACACAAGAAACTGGATAGGCAAAGCCAGTGCTATTTGTCCCCATCAGGACAGGTGTAATAAAAGGGGGATGATCCCAGGTGTGAGGTCCTAGAAAGGAAATAACTGGGAAGGTCAGCAAAAATAATAATTAAAAAATGTTGGCATCATTATAATCATGAAGCAGATGCAACCCTAAAGAAGCCAGGAGCAGGAGGCAGGGAGACATTTGCAGGGGAGCTCAGGACCTGCTTTAGTTTCCAGCCATGGGCAAAGTGACCTGGAGCTACACCCTTATACCCTTCTTTTAAGTCTTTTTCATGAAATCGAAACAGAAATATGACCCAGCAGATTTCTGCTCTTCAGAAATGGCATTTCAGAGCAACTCCCAGCCGTTAAAGCTGAGCCCAGCAGAGCAGAGGCTGGCCCATGGCTGGAATAGTCAAGCGGGGATGCTGCTCTCGGTGGTTTTAGCTGGGTGCGTCTCTCCCTGCTCCTACACAGCTGCAGAGGGTCAAAACCTCCATTAAACGAGAGCCACAGCAGTGTGCTGAGATTTACACATGTAGCAGCGCTCTCAGCATCTTCAAAGAGCCGCGAGCTGTCGCTCCGTCCCGCAGCCAGGCTGGCCCCTCTGTTGGGGTGCCCGCTCAGGAAGACGGCAATTATCTCCGGGTAGGATTTGCGGCGAGGGGCGACACGTGGGAGGCAGATGAATCACGACTCGTCCCCCCCCTCTGCCAGGATTTGGGAATGCAACGACACACGCGCGGCCCAGGGGATCCTCAGCTGTGCCGCGCGCTGTCTCCGTTCCCACCGCGGTGCCCGGTTATCCCAGTGCTCAGGGGGATTAAGCCACTTTCGGTGGCTGCAGCCTTTGCAGTCCCTTGGCCTCAAGGGGCAGGGTCTGATGCAGGTGGCATCAGGGTCCTCCCCCGCGTGGCACCATCAGGGAGGTTTCTCTCCCAAACTCACGTAATTATTCACATAATACCAAGCTGGATACTCTGCTTACATCCCTGTTTTACACCTTCCTCTGGCTTAGCCACGGGGACC